AAGCTAGAGGGATGGAAAACAGAACAAGGCATGGTTGTGTTTTCTCGCCTTGAGGAGTTGCACGTTGGGGATTGCCCGGAGCTCAAAACATGGTGGGAAGATGGATCTGCATATCCGAAACTCTCTATGCTAGGCATACAATCATGTCCGAACTTGCAAGCTATCCCAATTGGGCTGTTGAACTTAACATCTCTTGATATAAACAATTGTCCCAAATTAATGGAGTATGCTCAAGAAGGCAGCGACAAATGGTCATCCATTCGCCACGCTCATAGGATCAGAATCAATGGGCAGATTGTGCGATCCCGAAGATCTCGATTTTTCAAAGGTATGTCAAATCTATATTTCTCAATGCGATCCCTTGATACCATATTTTATTTATCTAAATTAGGCTGGTGGTTGAACAGTTGCATTTGTTTTATGATCTTAATATCTGGTTGAATCCCTTTATCCCAAAGATTTTGAGCCAAATAATAATCTAATTCTTTACATTCATTTTATGATCTCAATATCTGGCTAAATCACTATTTTAGTACATCTATCGTTTCAATACCTTCTTGTCCATCTGATCACATATTATCTCTCTCTAGTGCCCTTTTTGAGACAATAGTGGATAAGGAAGATACAGAGGATTGAAGAAAGGAATATATGCCATATGAACTTAATTTTACAGAGGTAATAATCTTTTGCTGATTGCTCTATTCTTGATTAATCTAGGGTGAATTTCTTACCCTTTGTTTAAAGCAACAGCAAGTTATATGCACCATACTTCTATTATATATTTGTTTTATATTAACTGATGGTTAAGTTACAAGCCAAAATGTCTTTAAAAATCTACTAGGAAATTTAAAGTGATGTTTTGCGGCATAATGACATAATTGCAAGCAATTTCTTCTTTTATCGAAGTTTAATTTCTGATTATATAGAGATCGGTGTGTTTCACTCTTTCATTCATCTTGCTAATTTTGCTGCAGATAAAGAAGAAAAGAAGTCTCTTCCTATCAACTTCTGCTTCTCATTGGCCCTGGGAACTGTCAAAATATTCAATTTTGATGGAATGGAAGGTTTGTTAGAAGTGGTTGAGAGACCTCTTTTTCTCCAGGAGCTGAGAACTGGGTTTTGCACTAATTTGATGCATCTACTTTTGCCGGGCCATGCGCCCAATGCCTCTATACTGCAAACTAACAATCAAAGGTCGAGGTTCATGATTCTTATGATTGTTATCAAATGCGGCTCGGAGTTCATAAATAAAACTGGTGAGTTCTCAAATCGTCATGAGTTTTTCTTAATGACAAACCTTTTGGGTTCCAATTGCATAGCTCCTTAATTATTTTGTTTGGTTCTTATTTCTGACAAAAATTCACAGGTCATCTTGATACCTCTCTCCAAAGGGACTTTTGCGAAAAGCATCGAGTGATATTGAAGCCCTCGTAATGCTAGAATTCTTTTTGAAGATTTATTATTGTTGTAACCCTCTAGTTTTATGTGGAGAAGAAACTTTGCAGGAATGTTATTTCTAAAGCGGGATTTTCCATCTGGATTTCCACGTAAAAGCTGATTCGTAGGAGATTCAGTGCGATCTGGAAGTTTGGAAATTCCTCTCTTATATGTATATATGGAATACTTAGTCTTCATTAACAAATTTTAAGAAAAACAAGTCCGATAACTAAGGTGTTTATATCCAATCTAATTCGATTAATTCAACCTAAATTAATTTAATTCAATCAAAAATTGATTCAAATTGATATAAAATTGGATTGATTTGAATTATAAAATTTTAAAATTGATATAATTGATTTAGTTTGTGATTTTGTCTTCAAATAGTCTGAAATATTTGATTATAAAATAAAATTTGATTACAAGATAATTAAATAATATAATATATTTTTTGTAATATTTTAGAATTTTTTCTTATTTTACAATATAATAATTTTATTAACTTAATTAAAAATTAAAAATAAAACATCTCTATATTTCTTAAATTATTTTTTCATTTTAATCATGCACTTTAATCTTAATTTTAAATTTTTAATTTACTTGTAACTCTATCCCCTTAAAATTGATTTACATCTTTACTCTTAGTGTCTTAAATTTATTTGTAAAATAATCTTAT